CATAAGGGTTGCATGTAGAGCTGGAAATTGTTCTGGAGAAGAAGCAAAACGGTCTCGAGTTCGCGTTCTTAATACAATCGTTTCATGAGTTCGTGAGGTTTTTATTTTTGTAACCATTTTTGACGAAGGGGATGGCTTACGTCAAAGTAATTATACTATTCAAAGAAGACAGTGTTGCCCTACACGTACTGTGTTCGAACCTAGATCCCTTTGTTTTGAGACTTGTCAAAGCAAAGTGCAAAAATTGAAGATTTCGGCAACTGCAATTTCCGCATTTGGTCCGTATCCCGCAAAATCTTATTGTCGTATATAGACGGAATGGCTAGTAGCAGGGCAAGCCTGGTGGTGTAAACTGCAGCATGCCAGTATGCCAACAAGAGAAGCTCATTTAGTCGAAGTGGCTTTTTATAAATGGGATGTATACCATATTAAATGAATCAAAATACTGATTCCAAATCTGCTTCCCCTATCTGCAGAACGTTTACGGACTAGGAGTTATGAGCGCTTGTTGGAACAAAAAATTGATTGTGCGAGTAGGACAAAAGTAGCCGTAATACTTTTTCTAGCTTTTCCATGGGGCAGTTATGATCACCAGAGCACATCCTTCAAAAAATACTCTGAAATAAAAAATGTTTCACACTTGGTTTCATTATTTGAGAGATAGTAACATTCTAGCAACCCATTTTATCCAAAATACGCATTCAGTTTTTTGCTCCAAAAAACGCTCGTAACTCTTCGTCCATGGAGGTTCTGCAGATATGGAAGGCAGTCTTGGAATCAGCGTTTTATGCCCTTCAATATGATATACATCCCATTCAAAAAGCCCACTTCGCCTAAACAAGCTTGCCTTGTAAGAACCATTTGAACAGGTCTCAGTAATTGCTGAAGTGATTTGCCGTTGAGTTTTGCGTATTGTTTAGCGACGAAATTTTGGGAGACGGTCAAGAGGCGCGATTTCTCTGGCTGTCACCAACTTGCAACTCCAGTTTAGTGCTATGCGAGTCTTCAAAAATTACCGGATAAAGTGCATTAGCTTACTATTCTGAGGTCACCATTTGCTGAGTTTCATGGTTTTTGCTATAAATTGGATTAAATTATTCACGAATTTGTTCTGAATTGCATTTTCATGAATTTTTGACCTTCAAAATTGCTCTTTTAAATTTTTTCTAGAGCATCAAGATTGAACAACTCATGCAACTGTCTGATATATCTTCTTCCAGATTTTATATAAATTTAGAAAGTTGCAAAACACTTATTATTTGCTACTTGGTGTACAGTTGGCAATAAAAATCGCGCCTCTTGACATACACCCCGAAATTTTGCGGTCCTCCTATGACCTAAGGCATAGTGGTCAGATTCCGTCGCACTATAAAACGACAATTGTTACGCACTCATTGCGAGCCCATGTATCCGCCACGCGGTTGTGGTAGTTATCCGCCGCCAAGCGCAGACTGTTTTTGGCTAGGGCATAGTTCTCCGGCGTGATCGCCGCGATTTTTGCAGAACTCAGCGATGTCGCGTCGCGCGTGCTGCACTGGCCACCGGCGATATCGCGCAGAGGTTGGAAGGAGATTTTGAGAGTTTTTTATAGACATGCATTAGTGTTTTAACTCGTTTTTGTTTGAAGAAAAAGAAAATCTTCGCAGAAGTAGCTGTGCATTTGTTGTGTGAACGTTTCTGAACAGATTTAAACTTATTTGATTTGAACTTTTTGGTGCTTTTTGTGAGTAACTTTTTGCAGACTAATGTAATCTGTCCTTTCACTTCGCATGGAGAATCTCATGCTTTGCTAATCGCATAACTGCAGGAGATTTTTTGTTTTTGATGCTAGTGCATCAGCACGAAACGGTTATGTTTGTGTTCCCGCTGTCTTCAAGTGTTGTGCTCGAATTTTTTTCTCAAAAACTAGTAGGCGAGAATTTGCCAAAAAGTGGTAAGCTTGTGGGGTGACCTGGTGAAATCGCGAGCACTATGCCCATGTGCTCGCGCAGAGCATTTCGTCTCGCGTTTTCATCGCCCAAACCATCGAAATCCCCGGCAACGATATCGCGACGCGAAATCGCGAGAACTATGCCCGTTGTCTATCGGGCTTTGACGAATGAAGGTTTTTAAATGGCTTCAATATATAGGTACAAGCTCTGGCCAACATTTTAAGTTCACCCAAAAAATTTTAGTGTAGATATTTCTCTGAATTCACCAAACGCAAAACATCTACACATATGGGAGAAGTGCGCTTTATCCTTCTCCGTAGTGTCTCTTCAGACAAGGAGACTATTTGATACGCACCATAGTTCCGTAGATATTCGTTTTCATCACTTGTGACAATTTTCAGATGAAACATTATAATCGTGGTTCTCTAATAGGCCAAAAATTGCAGGCGCAAATCGCCAGTTTTAGGCCGTAAAAATTTGCCTTGAGAAGTTAAACAAAGAAACACAGTTTCGCTTCGAAAAAAGCACTTGTAGAGTAAGATTTCTCTTTCCTATGGTACATGTACTTTGACGTGTACTACTACTACTACTACTACTACTACTACTACTACTACTACTACTCGAAAAATCATGGAAACAATAAAAATCCACAGACTTATCAAACGACCTTGTATAAACTACGCACTTCTCAACTCAGCCTCATGAAAAGCAGACGTTTACACGAGTGAAGTGCACAAACGTCATCTTGCTCAATGCGTAAGTTCCAAAAAAATATCTTTGGAATGTAGTAGACCTGTCTCGTTTACAACGAACAGATATCGATTTGACACCAAATTTGGTATGTAGATAAATGGATAAAGGCTAAAAGGAACAGAATATGGTCAGGGCCTTGCGCGAGGGTACCAAATGAAAACAAGTGAAACAAATTGGCCTTTGCCACTTTCCAGTCTTACATCGCGCCAGCTGCGGGGCGTTCAATTGAAGCGCGCTTTCTTTCTTAAGAGCAGTGTCTCGGCAGAATTTCGTTTTGCAGATTTTCACCTTTTCGGAGCTCTCTCGCCATAAGGAATCCATATCTGGGCCTTCGAGCGAATGAAAGTAGCGATAACGAGCTTTTTTCGAAGCTTTCCAGGTCCGTATCCAGTGAAAATATGCCGGGAGTCTTTCACGTCCCCCCTTGTTCTGGGCCCCACCCACTTACACGCATTCTCCACTGGTGCGGACCTGGAAAGCATGACAGAAATTATTTATTGAAAGTTTTGTCATCCTCAATGATGGCATATGCGCGACTCGAACAAAGTTGGGCGCGCGTCTCATTCACATAAACTTTCCAATTTCATACTTTGTTCTCATTCCCCACCACGCATACTTATACACAAGTCTGGAGCCATATAGCGTTCCTGTGCGTTACAAACGAGTGGCTACCGGACTACATGTCTTGATTGTATCAGACATGCGTACTCATTGCAGATGTCCGCGCGGACCCCCCCCCTTTTGGCGACATGCAGTCGTCCACCCCAAAAGTTGGTCTTTCTCTTCGTCAGTGAGAATTTTCTGGAAAAATGCTTACCACACCCTCAGTCAGATCACTTTTTCACCGTTCTCTGCGCTATGCTCCCCCTTGCCCTTGCCCATATACATGGCTTATCATCTGCAGTGTTAGGTGCATCAACATTTTCGCTCCAGCACAGCCGCTTCGCCTGGCTCTACACCTTTTTCTTGAATATTATCCCTGATCACTTTCTCACCGCGAGCATGGGAAAGGCGGAGGCTCAATCGATTGAACATGTTTAGTGTGCATGTTCGCGGAAGAGGTGCAGAATCCCGCGCGGGGATGGGGATGCTGGCGTACCCGACACTTTAATTGATAAGGTCCTGTAGAGCTCCTGCGCAAATTCCTTCGACTGAAAACACATTTCTTGTTAGTGCAAAAAACTTTTTTTTTCTGAAAATGAAGCCTTGAGCATGACCGTGTTTGTGAACGTCCATCGTGTGACAGCTTGTTAAAGGGGATGCGTGTTGCGTATGGACCCGTTTACCATACCACTTTTGCTTTGTCCACTCACAACGATTTCCAGCTCGACATTGGCCACCCTCACGGCGAGCTCTGGATATGGGAAGAAAAAATATCCGCTCAAATAACCAAAGGTTATGATGAGGCGGCGAAAATAGCAGTTTCAGTGAGAGGGCGATGATACTACGAAAATTGCAGTGACCGGGCGACGATGCTGCAAAAATGGAGTTGAGGGGGCAGCCATAGTCTTCCATGAGTCAGAAAATAACTGCAGAGCGCGTTCATTGCTGCAAAGGCAGTTAGAAGGGCATGATAGAAGAGTGTGGCAAGCAATCTTCTTTTCTCCTGCGATTTCTCAGTTGAATGTCCCACGGTAAAAATCTCGAGGGATCTTTCGTTCTGTCTGTGTCGTCCCTGCGTCCAGGGCTGCCCCTGCCAGCTCGTTCCAGCGCCGTGCCAGCGATTTGCAGGAACATCGATCAGTAGAGTGTGCGTTGTGGGTTTTGAAAAGTGAGACGCTATTCCACATTAGTTGACCCAAAAAATGAAGATCGTGAATTTTGCTAAAACTTCGTCCAAGACGGTTATTTGGTACGCTGAACTCGAACATGATTTTTATTTCGTGCGACAGCGCCCGGTGAAGTTACAGTAAGATTACGGTAGGGGGTCAAAATCACGAATTTGCCCGAAACATGGTCCAGAGGGGTTATTCGGCCCGCTGATGCTGAATATCACCTTGGTTTTGTGCCGTAGCGTCATTTTCTCGGGTTAAGGTGGATGGTAGGGGGGGGGGGGGTCAAAATCTCAAAATCCGCGATAGCTTCGCACAGAGGGGTTATTCGACATGCTGATTAGAAATGTCACACTTTCTCCGCACGAAAACGTCTCCCTGCATGGTTACGGTAAGTTTACGGTAGGGGTCAAAATCACAAATGTATGCTAGCACGCCGCTAGAACCACGCTGACACAGCGCTGGCACGGACAACTCTGAACGCCTCAGGGCGCGGCTGTACACTTAGAAACTCAATCTAAGTTGCACTGTTTATCCTTTCAGATAAGCGTGTAGCTTCTACCAGATGCATCGATGCACGGAAACTACAAGTGAAAAACGCAATCGATATATCAAGAATTTTGAGCATCTGTCGAAGGCACTACAAATCTCAAAAGCAGTGCAGACTCGCTATCAATTGATACCGCAATCAGCACTGAACAAAGTTGTGGTGGCTGGCATTAGAGACACGAAACTCATGAGTGCTACATCAGATGGTGCGTCAACTTCGTCATATAAAACCTGCGCGGTCTTTAGAAGATTTTTTTGCAGGCTTCGTCATACGTGTTAACAACCCAAGCATGAAATCCCCTTACAATCGAATCTGCATCGATCCAAATGGAGTACCCAGCAAATTTAACACGCACATCCCCGTGTCGGAAACGGTTGTACAAGCGGCTGCAAAGATTCAAAAAGGCGTACAGGTAACACTTGTACAGTCCTCTCAATTAGATAAGTACTCCCTTTTGCATAGGAATCACGCATCCGCAACGCGAGCGTCGCACGTCCGAATCTAGTAGACTAGACCCCACGGGGGTGATCAGCATGCTCGATTACCCCCCTGTGCCAACTCCCAGCCCTGTAGCTCAAATTTGCAAAAAATCGATAAAATCGATATCGATCGATGACGAAAAGTAGCCTATGACACCCGCCGGGGCCCGTAGTGTATGTGTACCAAGTTTGGTCCGGATCGGTTCAGAAATGGAATTTTCTATTCGGAACATACGTACAGACAGACATACAGACAGACAAACAGACATTCAGCTTTATATATAAGATTTTATATTGTCACCACTGTCATCACAAAAAAAAACTTTCAGGTCGCTGGAAAGGCGCTGTTCGTTGTATCAATCCTTGCCTCCGGATATCGAGTCATTAACACAATTCAGGACGAGCTCGATATCGACAGCCAAATCGAAGCGTACGAGAAAATCGTCTCTTGTCTCAAAGAGGATCTAGAAAATTGCAACGAGGAAGAAAGGACTGAAAAGAAGAAAGCGCTAGACTTTGCGATGAGTCTTTTGGAAGATGCCCGTGATTGCAAAAGAAATCCCGGCAAGAAGACGATACTCACAAGTTTGTGCATAGGCGGAGAATGGGGTGGAGCGGCGGCGTTGGGTTACGCGGGGGCTCAAGGAGGCGCAGCGATTGGGGCTTTTGGTGGCCCACTGTTGGGACTCGCAGGTGCTGTCACTGGTGGCGTTCTTGGTGGGGTAGCTGGTACAGAATTGGGGGCATCTGCCATCGAGAACTTTCGTTGTGACGAAGACGGCATTGCGAGCGAAGCAAAAGGCTCTCTGATGTCGTTCGGGGAAAATTCAAGGGTGGCGGCAGTCAACGCTAGTTTTTTTGCAGGCAAGGGCTTAGAAGTCGGCGCAAGTGCGGGCATTTTTCAGAAGAAGGGAGATGACGGATCTCTTGACGTAGGGAAAATTGGTGCCGATTTCGGCATCTCGAATAAAGGTCTGGATGCAAGGGTTGAAATCAAACCATACTGGTGTGAGGTGGAAGAAGACAAGTACAAGTACGCAACAGGTCTCAATCTAGACACTGGCTTTCAGTGGTCAAAAGACCGTGCAGAATTGTCAGTATTCGGTTTCGGACTCAGTAAGGGAACAGAGGGTTTATCTATAAAATTGCCAGTTTTCAATTTCACATGGAAATATTAGGTTGCTGCATAAGTTCTGTTCGATTTGAATTTTTTGAGTTCTAAACGTCGTAACTTCTTTCAAAGCCAACTTTTTTCCAAGATCTTAGTTTCTAGTTGTTGACCAGTTCCTTGGCTATGAAGTACATATTGAAAGCTGGGCAAATCCTTGTTAAGGAAGAAGCAAGAATGCAAAAACTTCACAGCTTTTTTCTTCAAACCTGACTTTTTTGACATGGCAACGCTCCCTTATGAGAATTGATAAACATCTCATCTAACAATGCATAGATAGAGAAATTTTCGTAGATTATTAAGTAAAATAAAAGAGCCCATAGAGTCTGCACTGTCGAGAGATTTTTTTGACCGAGCAAAAAAGAAGCCATTTTTTGATCTAGCTTCACGCATGTGTGCATGCCTATTTACGAAGTTGAGAATCTTACAACTGACGTGAGCGCCGAAAAGGAAGTGATGGATAGGCCCTGCTAGCCCTTGCTTTGCCCTAGCACCTCCAACTTTGAGCTTATCGATTACTATTCGCAGAAAGTTATTGCTTGTAAAACATCTATACAAAGAATTGATGTTCGACGATAATTTTAGTAGCAAGAGTTATCTTCAACGAACTTCTGCATATAAAGCCTTCTACACCCTTATTCCGCAGCCAATAAAAGAACTTGATTTGAAAGGCGCATTGTGGAGATTTCCTCGCAAGAACATATTTCTAGAGTGAGAACGTACCTCGGCCACTTAGAGATTTTAGGCCTGAAATCTCCGTACACTAAGAAATTTCTTGAAATCTGATATGAGTTAGCAAGAACAAGGAAAGTACTTTTTAATGATACTAACAATACTACATTAAAGGTGAAATTCTCTTGGAACAGCTGCTTCAAACATAAGGCAAAAAAATCGGACAGAACTTATGCAGCAACCTAATAGTTATTAGTTTTTGAAGCTGTTGATTTCTTGTGATTTTGTGCCTTGTTTTATTCGTCGAAGTTCCTACTACTTTCTCACCATATTTTATTTTCTCATTAGCAGGGAAACGCAATGCTTTATTTTGCAAGGCATCATCATTTGATGGACATATGATGGGTCTATGGTAGGAGGCTTAGGCACGCGCCATACTTGATCCGCTTGATCCACTTCGTAATTGGTCAATTCAGTGAACTGACCAATAGCGAAGCGGTTGTCCACTTGATCATTTGATCCATTTCCCGCTTCACTCTTGGTCACTTCACTGAATTGACCAATGTCGAAGCGGATCAAGTATGGCGGTCTTAATGAAGAATCCACTTGAACTTCCCCGATTGTTCGACATACACGTTGCGAAAATGACATTCCACTGAAAGATGAGTCCATAATCTTGATTTTTGTTGTGAATTAACACATTGACGACAATACGACCCACCGGTGGGTCGTACGTGTACTGCCATTTCGGACAATACGACCTACCGGTGGGTCGTAAGTCTTCGAAAGCTCTAACTTTGCCAGCATGCGATGGAATTCTACGGTATTCTGGCACATTATTGGGGACACCTTGGCGAAGCTCTAGCCGGAGTGGTCCGGGTCCGGGATACTGTAATGTAATGTTACGGTAGGTATACCGTAGATAGAGGTAAGGCACAGATTTTAGCTCGAATCTCTCGCAGAGTGGTGCTGTTTTTGACAATTCAAGTTTACATGCACAAGAAATACAGGGAAAGCATGAGACTGATGTCAGCCCATCAAAAATTATCGATTTTATTGATTTTATTGATTTTTCGCATTGTTCATCCCAGGAATCTCAAACCTTGCATATATAGGTTTTTTAGCATGCTGACTACGAAAATCATAGTCTCAAGTTCCAATACCGCCTTCTTACATCAGTTTCTTGATTCTTAGAAAAATTCTACCGTACTGTTACCGTAGTCCCACTGTGGGAAAGTACTGAACAAAGTGGACACTATAGTCGATCAGCGCGTGAATTAACGCTAAACAATTTTTCATCAAAATCATGATGTTGGGTTCGTAGAATGACTACCGTAATCTTACCGTATACTGCTAAAAACTGAAACAAATCATATTTTGATAATCAGCGCCTTCGATAACCCTTGTGGGGATATTCTCAGAGACATGTTTTGAATTTCTTACAAAAAGACTACCATTTCGGACAATACGACCCACGGGTGGGTCGTAAGTTTGGCAGAGCAAGAAAGGCTCCTGTCCGAAATGGCAGTAATCGAAAAATCGGCCTTGTCGTCAATGTGTTAATGTGATGGTACATTTTGTTTCACTTGAATGCTCTCTTGTTCTTATGAGGAGTTTTATTTAGTAGTTGCTCATTTGTATCCATATTACCTTTTAGTTGTGCATAAGAACAAAGAATTAAATGATATTAACCACGTCAGGGTTTAATTATGTACATGATGCATATGAAGCTTCAAATTCTTCAGAATTTACGTCTATCAAATTATTCAGTCTGCAAGTTGCACAGCTGCACTGGACTTAACGCGCACTGGAAATTGTTTTTCTTTCGCATTTCCTCGTTTCGATATTTTGTTGTAGGGAAATTGTGCTTTTCATCGTTGATAGATCCTGAGCTCGAAAGCTCTACTCTACCAAAATGACTGGAACCGAGCGTAAAGTATTTCAGGTGAGATCCTTTTCATTTTTGAGGAATTACAACCGCAGGCTGTACCACAGATACTATTTTGTTTAGAAATACTATCCGCCAGACTATGACCCCACAAAGCTCCCAAGAGCTAAAGGGACGAGGGCTCGGTATGTTTTATATTTTTCAGTTGAGGATTTCCGTTTTCAACGCTGCTCGAAATTTCCTTTTCAGGCAGTTCGTTCAACGAGTCATGACGCCGTTCAACATGCAATGTAACACATGTAGCGAGTATATTTATAAAGGAAAAAAGTTCAATATGAAAAGAGAGACAGTTGAAGGAGAGGATTATCTAGGACTCAGACTTTTCCGGTTCTATTTCAAGTAAGTTTCTTGCTGCGGATTCATTTTCTTCTTCCATGTTTGTGTGCAAGATAAGAATTAGACCCCTTGATGATTGAGAAGACGATGCAAAATACGTTGCATTTTTTTGTCAGTCTTCTTTATTCTTAAGCTTTGGACAAACTTTACCCATGTTATCCGTGTCATTACCGGTTATCAGTGTTACTCCTGTTACTAGTGTTACTGTGTTACTAGTGTTACCGTTTTTATTCCTGCTGAGTAGTGAAATGACCACAAATACATTCCTATTCTAAAACCGATCTATTGACTGGTGAGTAATGCGAATAACACTAGTAACACTAGTAATAACATGGGTAACATTGGTAACACTAGTAACAGAGTAACACTAGTAACATGTTAACACGAATAACACTGGTAACATCGGTAACAGCGGTAAAGTATGGTCAAAGCCTTATTCTGCAGCGGCGTCACATTCCACGGCTTATGCAGCATACTAATTTTAAAGTCTCATTATCCTCTCTCGCCTTTCGAAACCTATCTTTTCAGGTGCCCTAACTGCTTAGCTGAAATTACGTTCAAAACTGATCTCGAAAATTGCGACTATCAAAATGTGAGTTCGGCTACATATTTGCGCTCACGTAATCCTTTGTCTTACCTTTTCGTATTAGAAGTGCTACGTTTTTTTTTGCTTCATTTTTCTGCTCTTCTCTGCTTCTTCCTTGTTATCTTTTATGACTGATTCTACCTAGGAACATGGTGCTACACGATTATTTGAAGCCATCAAACTCTACCAAGATGCAGAGAAGGCAAAAGAAGCTCAAGAAGAGGAGGATAAGAAGGACCCCATGAAAATGCTCGAAAAGAGAACGATGATGAGTCGTGCAGAAATGGAAGCGATGGGTAAGCAGTCTAATTCGGTCTCTATAATTATATCCTTTGTCCGTAACTTTTTTCCTTTTTTAGGTAATCTGGAAGACTTGCAAGAGATCAGCAGACATAAAGAATCTGTTGACGTTGACGAATATTTGGAGGCTACTAAGCCTGAGTTGTCAATAGCCGAACAGGTAAAATTACAAGAACAGGAAGATGAAGAGTTTATTAGGTAAGTTTTCGCTCCAATTCTTCACCTTGAAAATAAATATGTTGGCTTAAGGCAAGTATATGGAAAAACTGCAGACGGCAAAATCATCAAACGATTAGAGGACGATGATGAAGATGAAGGAAAACCAGGAACCAGCGGTCTGGTTAGCGCTTCATTGCACGATATCGTAAATCCATCTTGTTAACATTTTCACCAAATTCTTTAGGTAACGAGTAGTCTTTTTTAGGTCAAAACAGAAGATCTGCATGATATAAAACCGTTCGATGTCAAGCCGTCGTTCATCAAAGATGTGCCAAAGCGGCCAAACGACCAGAAAACTTTGTTATCGAAGTTGGTCGTTGTGAAAAAGAAAAAGGTGGGATTTTCTTGAGTTCTGAGTCGTTTAGTATTGTATCAAGAGTGTGCTCAATCTCTCCGGACTTCTTTGATTTTGCAAATTTTCTCAGAGCTTGTACTTCTATGTTTTATGAAGAAAAAAAAAGCCTCGATATCCATCAGCATCTGCAGCTGTGCATTTTTGTTAGAACTGAATCGTCAGTATCATTTTTGTGAGCATTTGGGGCTTAATTATTCTTTCTTGATTGCAGTACATTGCGTATTATTCTTCCAAAACTGCTATTATCGAGGGTGAGGGGGTAAAAGGAGAGAGGTTCTTGTACACTACTAGTCTAATTTTGCCGATGCACTGCGGCTTTGTAATGCTTTTTGTGAGATACAACAAGTTGGTATCTAATATCTGAAGTGAGGAATGGTGTGCTCGCATAAAGCTAGGGTCCTAGCTGATTTTTCTCCCAAAATCGCTGTTTACGCTGCACTTTATAACATATAAGTTGTGCAGCAATATATTGAGAAGTTCTGGAGTTTGTGCTGATTTTTGTAAAGCATGTTTGCCTTATCTGCCATCATTCAAGTCTTTGTTAGACCCTGTAGGGTATGCCCAACTCTTGGAACTGAGGGTATCTGTCATCAGGAGGTGGAGTGGATAAGTTTCATTTCATCACCCGGTCTTGTGAAATAGTGAAATCAGTGGCCGTATTCATCAACGAACCCCGAGGGTTAAACTAACCCTGGAGGGTTAGTTTAACCCTGGAAAGCGTTTAACCCGTATTCATGAAACACAGGGTAGGCTTAACTCTGAGGGTTAAATCTAACCTTGAGGGTTAATTTTACCCCGAAAGCGATTAACCCGTATTCATCAACGAACCGTGAGGGTTAAACTAACCCTGGAGGGTTAAACTTACGTGATTCATCAGGGTTAATTTAACCCTAGCTCAGAGCAAGGTTAACTCTACCCTGACACTTCATACAAACGTTTACTCGCATCTAACAGTTTATGGAAAACGATCAATGAGTATTGTGGCATTTAGTATTGGTTGTTGTTATAGTATTTAGTTTCGACTTCGTTTTATGTTCATATACGAAGTACATGAAACACTGACTTTGCGAGAAAAAGAATTCTAGCTTTGGTGACAAATGAATGCGACGAGGAAAAATGGCATTGCACTCTGACAAGTGCCAAAACAGAAGAACCCCTTTGTAATAACACGCATTGACCCCTAAAGGAGTAGCACAAGCCTGGTATAAAACGAACTGCGCAAAAGTAGAACTTACACTGCACAATTGCACACATGAAACTAAACTCACGCTGTAAGATTCGATGCTGCACAAGTATGCTAGAGATGTATTATAAAAACTAGTGTTAGAAGCTTATTCTTTGACTATACTACTATCAGTGAAAGAATAGAAGTATAAAGTGAATTTAGCCCGTACTTAGGCATTCTGCGATGTGAGTTTGCACAGCGCACGCGTGACTGACGCCTTAACCCTCCAGGGTTAGTTTAACCCTCAGGGTTGATGAATACAGCCACAGGTTTGTTGATCGATACGGGTAGATCGCGTTCCGTGGTAAACCCTAGCCTATAGTTGATGAATACGGCCAATGAACCCTGAGGGTTAATCTAACCCTGGAGGTTTAGCTTAACCCTCAGGGTTCGTTGATGAATACGGCCACAGAATAGTATTCCCTGGCACTGAAAATTTGCCATTTTTTAAAGCAAGGTTTTTTTCTCTACCAGTCTCATAGCTTATGACTGAATGATTCTTCTATGTAAAGCGTGTCACCAATAAAAAGCTGTACGGCACCGGTTGGTGACACGCGAATGCCTAGGTTAGAAGAAAAGAAGGCTCATAGGATATAGCTCCTATAGCTTCTCCTTATTATTCCAATTTCTTTTTGCGTTCTGGCCTGATCGACTTTGATTTCATTGCTGGAGTTCAATGGCAGAAGACAATGATTGCTCTTTTTGCCTCCGAAGCAAATGCAAGTCTTTTCAATGATTTTGAAGTCACATTCAATCTGCCTATAAATCAAGTAACCGCAGTCCTCCTATAACCGCTTTTTCACTAGTCTTGATTTATCCCTTTTCAGTACAACCACTTCGTTAGTAGCTAGCTTTCGACGCATTCTGCACAAATTTAGCTTGTCAGCGTTTTTTTTTCGAGTGAACAGTGGTCCACGCTACGTTGAGTGTGAAGTCGAGCACCCAACCTTTTGTAGCCTTGTTTCTGATCCAGTCGACTCGCTTCTGAATTTACAAACTGCACCGATTTGGTATGTTTCATGAGCTCATGGGTTTTTTCTTGCCAATGTGGTCCTAAGCCCTTTTCTTCTGAGCATGGATTGGGTGGGGGAACGAAAGCCGCCAGGTCCAGCCGCCTCCGCGGACTGCTGGTCCTGGAACGGCATGCAACAACGCTGCGAAAGGACCAGCTGGCCGCGAAAGGCGGCTGGACCTGGCGGCTTTCGTTCCCCCACCCGCATGGATTTTGTAAGATCGTATAGAGATTCAGAATCACCAACAAAGGAATACTTTTTCCCTCCAGAGTATCCCAGAGATTCTGGACGTGCAAGGGAGAAAGGGGAGGTCATTCAAGCGTGCAAGGGGGTGGGGAGAGTAGTCGGACTTGGAAGAATCATGCAAAACTAACTTGACTTGCAGACAACATTATCCCGCGGCAAGAAAGGGATCGTTAGAAAACTTGCAGAATTCTGATTTGTGCGAGCCTTTGAGTTATATTCAATAATGGCTAAAGAAACAATTCAAATACATCACTATAGACTTACACTCTGTGTCAAATGCGGTCTCCTTTTTTCACCTGCGCAAGCGCCACGCATGAGCTTCGCGTCAGGTTTGCGGTTCGCGTATAACTTCGACATTCAAATTGGCCGAATTGTTTGGAGGTTTGCACACAATGCTTTCGCAAAAATCGTTGATACAGATGTATATCTGCTTAACCACATGGCTTTAATCCCAAATCTGTTCATGTTTGAGAAATTACTATTTTAGGTCGAGGACAAACAAATTAAACAGGAGCCAGCTGATGATCCTCCTGAACCTCCGCCTTCCTCATCTACCTCCACCTCAGCATCGAAACCGTCCAGTGGCTTGTTAGGACTGTCCGCCTACGGTAGCGGATCTAGTGGAACAGATTCCGATTGACCTCACTTATTATGCTGTATTTTTTTTGGAAATGTATGAAAGATTTATTCAACAACAGGTGAATGATTGTACAAACAATAAATAATGTTCTGAATGAAATAATAACATCAATTTCATATTCAAATTTATAATGACAAGACGGCGAGTTTATAAGTGAACAAATGGAATGTACGCCGCTTAGCGTTGTCTCTTGATTGAGGTCTTGTTAATGAATCTGTCGACGACTATGCGAGAAATTTGTGACTAGAAATCTGGGAGAATTTTTGAATATCTATGAAAAGGCGGCGTTCATAAGACTTTGTGGCTGGGAATGTAAATGTGTAAAAACGTGGAGATCTTTGTCTACCCTTGGGAGTGCTCGTGTGGAAGTGCCAAAGTAGTATATTGCGCTATAGTGAGGTGTCCTTAATAGGATCATGAATCACTCGAGAAAAACGACGTCCACTACGATGTGTAAGTTTCGGTGATAAAATGCCAAGCACACCACCGACGTCGAAAACCTAAAAAGTTTCGATTTGAAAAATCCATTCCTACGTAGATGGCGACGCAGACAATGCGTAATTTGCGTCCGCTGATGCGGCACGGACGCCGCAGTGAGCGCAAGTCTGCATTACCTGCGCTTCTGACTCAGCCTTACCTGTGTGATAATATCTTGAGCTTCATCTTGGCTTTTCGCTACCAAATTGAGTTGAGCTTTGAGCAGCCTAGAATCAAATCATTGAGACCAGAACTTCTATCGATTTTTCCGTTTTTTGATATCCAAAAAACTAAATCGAAATATACGGATAGCGAAACGAATGCTCACAGTCAAGCAAGTTTATACTCATTCTCTTCATTCATTTCTGTCATTCTGACGAAACGCTACGTCACTAAACGGCAGATGATTTGTCATTTGGCGTCGCGTAAGAGCTAAATAAAACGGAGTGGCTCACGAGGGACCGTAGATTCGCCCGCAGGAACGATTACTTTTGGATTGGAGCAGGAATCCTCCGTAGAGCACCTTACTCTTCCAACGCTGAATTTGAGGATGCGCTTGTCAAATAACTGTGTTGCGTCTTGCAACTCTACTACTGCAACTCTAGTCTCCGTATCAAGGTTGTCGAGCCACTTTCTTTGAAAGCGGCGTCCAGGCAAATCTGGACAAATGAGTATCGCCAGCGGGAACTGATTTTGGGAAACCGCGCAGAGTTACAGCATAAAATGAGTTACTCAAGCTCTAAGTTTCCATTACTATCAGCATCAAGTACAATCTTTGTTAGCGGTTTGAATTTGTACGTAAAAGTTTGATTTGCCTTTTCCTCTTCTCTTTAGTAAATATCACTTTTTCGATCTGGAATCTGGACAACCGTCTCCTTTCAGCATCAGTGAATGTCTTGACTATTGGGGAGTCTGCCTATAAGCGAAATTCTTGCAAAAAAGGTGACACTAGGAAACTAATTTGTACCAGCTTCTTAACATCGTAGTTTGTCTCTGATTGTGAATGTTGCGCACTGATCAGCGGTTGATCGTCGTCTTCTTGCTGTGACTTCTCGAAAGCGGCCAAGATTTGTTCTTTTGTGCTTTTGTCAAAGTCAAATCGCTGTGTTGAGAAAATTTCAGGTACGAAGGTAAGGAGATAAATAAAATTAACCATGTTGACAGCTTATTGTCGAGGTTGTTATTCTTTTTAATGATATGCACATGCCTAGTTTACAATGTATGAGCATAAATGGCCTTCGCTCTTGAGAAGTGGTTGTTTTTTCAACTCCGTCAAATTTGTACAGCCCTCTTCAAAAAGACATGAAGGCAAGAGAGTTATTAACGATCATACAGTGTGCACACTATTTTGGGATACGCTGTAGATTTTTGTCACCATACATAATGCTGCTTGGACCTGAAAGGCTAATTCAAGTATCAGATGCATAGAGCTTTCCTCAGAAATGTAAGCGAGGAAAAAGACCACTGAACTTCATTTTTCAAAGCTCGCCAAGAATATAAGTCTGCAAAAGAATCTGAAATGCTGATGCTTAGGTTTTACGACTTAGTTTGTCGAAAATGTAGGCACCATTAACCAAGACCGTTTGCAATAAGAATTGCAAAGTCACCTTCAACAAACTTGAACTATGACTCCAGTTTTCAAGTCAGCCCTTGCAGTGTTTCAGATTTACAAGAACATGATAAAATGACAAAAGGAGAATGATTCTACAATAGGCCTGAATGATTCAAGTAAATCTGAAATACTACAAAGCAAAATATGGCAGAGCTTGACTGTGAAATGTTCTCCTTTTCGGAGCATAAAGCGCTGCGATGTATTATTTATTCCGCATGCTTTAGTGTTTATGCATTGAATTGCGATGCCCTCATGAAATCAATCTTTGTTCCACCTTTATCTGGAAGATAGTTTGATAATGCACACAACTTGCACAAATTGTTGCCAATTCAAATATTCTCGGATAGATTTCTGTTGCCAAGCATGGCATAGAAGAAGTCCGCTCAAATGACAAACGCGGCAAGAGCGTCTGCAAAAGTGTTAGCCGTAAGTGAGTACATCCGAGCGCAAAAGCTTCACTGATATAAGTCAGTGCATATCACGACCAGAGGAAGTGGCTCGACAAGCTTGATACGGAGACTAGAGTTGCAGTAGTAGAGTTGCAAGACGCAACATTCGCATCCCCAAATTCAGCGTTGGAAGAGTAAGGTGCTCTACGGAGGATTCCTGCTCCAATCCAAAAGTAATCGTTCCTGCGGGCGAATCTACGGTCCCTCGTGGCTCACTCTTACGATCCGCCAGATGACAAATCATCTGCCGTTTAGTGACGTAGCGCTTTGTTCTGAACCGGATGAGGGCATGAGTATGACGCATGTTTGAGCGCTGCTACCATGAGCTCTCACTTTTGCACGTTCTAACGCATACCATGTAAGGACCAGTAGTCCGGAAGGCGGCAGTGATGGGATTCCTTCGTAGTCCAAATTTCTTTTCTAGTAGGAAAAAAGGAAACATTCCTTTCATTGACGTCAATTACAGACGAAATCGCACTGCACTTTGCACAGGAAAAAGGAGACGTCTCCATCTCTTTCATTATTCTTCTCCATTTCTTTCACTTTTTTTCTATTCCTGCCTCTAATCTTCAACTCTGATCTCAGCAACATTTCTTTCGGTCAGTAAGCAGCATCGGCTTCTGCCGGGATGCTGCCCATTGTCCAAGAATGACTGCTTTTCGCGCATCAACGATCAACAAAAAGTTGGTAAACATCGTCCACTGGGAATAGTCAATTTACTGCCGCAGAATAGTCAATCCTTCTCCGGCGCTGTTCTGTTTTTTATATACAGCTGCTGCACAATGGCAACCAGGAAGACATTTTTGGGAAAAATAGCGCAACTTCAGAACTTCCAGACGTTGAAAAAGGGGTTATTTGCTGTTTGGAGTTGATGAGTTATAAATAGAGAGAAAGTTCGAAAAACTTCCAGAAATTGTGGAGATTTGCAAATATTCATAACTTATATAATGCGATTTTCTAATTAGATTCTTGCTCATAAAAAATATGAGATGATGACTTAACGACTTAACTTGGAAAAATAGATCGCTAATAATGAGTCTTTTAGGGAGAATTATCTGACTGCATGGTTTGGGCGTGATTGCAGACGCTCTGCGTCTCTCTTACCAGATGCATCCCTATAGCTCTTGTCATCTGGTCCCTCTTGTAAGCACGTACTCTCTAAGCTTTGATACTTCCAGTAATGTTCATTCTATGGCCTAATGATTAATTTTTGCACCTTCTAGATTATTTATTCAATAGTGGCTCGAGAGGGGCGGGGGGGGGGGAGGAGATGGAGAAAGGTGGGGGTAATTTTTGAAAGTGGTCTATATAATTTGAAATATTGTCCAAGTGACTCTTTTGTACTTGAGTATAAGAAACGGACGAAGGGGAGGGGGGGGGGGGGGAAGGGAAAATGAGTCGCTCAATCTTTGTAGGTGGTCTACATGATTAGAAAACATAACAAAATAATATTTTAGACTCTCAATCAAATCAGCTTGGTAATTTTTTTCGGGGACCTCAAGGTCCTTCAGTAGGAGAATCTTTCTGTCCCTCCCAAAATTTTTTTTCGGATCGCCACTGCTATGTAACGCTTTCTTACGTTGTAGGTAATTTTCAAAAAATCCAGAATTCAACCTCAGATTCCATGTGAAATTCTCGGCTGCTCTCGTCGCTTTTTGCCCTTTCAGGCCACTTTCCAGGCAGAGATGTGCCAATTCGTCATGACTCTCCGAAATGTGCTTGATTGACTCCTCTATCTGTAAAAAGTAAGTTGCGAAGTTTTCTCATCGCTCACATGCTTGGCATTTTGCCAATACCTTGGTTAGAAGACTATCAGCATGTCCCAATGTAGCAACACAATGTGCGATAAGCACTTTGAGTTTTTGAAAAGTGCGCTGAAGTTTATCGGGTATTTGGCCATTCACGATGATGACGGGGAACTAAAAATTGGAAAATTTATGATTTAAAAATAAAAAATTGATTGATTGAGGGTATGCCTTACATTCTTATCATCGCTCTCAATCATAAAGGATGGCATGATTTCTTGGCTTCGGCTAGTTTCTGAGCCTGCTGACGGTGATGAAGGAGGAGTTGCTGAGCATAAAGCCAATTAAGATAAAAATAAATAAATAAGTTAGGTCATATAAAAATTCCTGAAAATTTATCTTCTTCGAACTATTTTATCCATCAAAAGTGGACATTTTTAATTCAAATAACATTTACATTCAGCTAGATTATTTGAAGGAATTTTTTTTCGTAAGTTTCTAGAACACTGTATCTCGTGAAAGTTTAAGTGAAAAACGATTTTTGAGTTCTAATCGTTCATTCGTTTACGAATGCTTGCACATAAACGCGAACAGTGTTTCCTTGTTTTGTTTTGTCGTCTGCGCCTCTCTTTTTCCAATGATCCTCATTTTTGCAAGTATGCGTAAGTAAAAGCTGCTTACAATTGACTGTTAGCGTCATCATTCTGGAGTGAATCAGACGAATTCCCTGCCTAATCGTTCCCGCAGGTCCTAGACCACATTCATCTTGCCAGTCTATCTAAAAATGGGTACTTTTCAATTTTTGAACCAAAATCTTGATTTATAGGCTTACCAGAGCAGCTTCAAGCTTATTTCGCATTGCTATGGACTCGCATAACGGGGCCACAGCAGTTTTAAATTGGTCATCAACGGTCTGAAAAATTCAAAAAAAGTTTACCTAGTTTAGTGTAAAGGCGCAGGCTGGTTAAAAATGACGGCAACCCTACCAGGCCATGCCCTGATTACCCAGAAAACAGCTTACCTTGATACCGACGAGCTTCATGCCAGTATTCACACGACTGGACTTCCGTTTCACTGACATACCCCTTTTCTTAGCTTTCTGAAAGAAAAAACAGATTTATTCGTATTAGCTCCGCCCCCATCGCTTTTGCGACAAAATGACCACGCCCTCTGCGCCGAGCAGCGACTACTTGGGCTAAAGCTATTATTCCGCTGCTGGACGTCGGGAAATGCAGTAAAGAGTGATTTTAGGACTTTGTTTACGCCAGAGATCGTTTTTTGGAGACCAGGCTCAGAATATGAGACGGATTTGGAGAATTCTGAGGGTTTTGCTTGAAATTTTGGAGGAGAATCTTACATTTTCAGATTTGGGAAGAAAGGAAAAATAAGAGAAACTTACCCCTCCACCACGTTTGTTGGTAATAGCGACATGGACAAATAAAGTAGCATTCGGAAGAACCTCGCCCTCGTTATTTAGCAATGGGACATGCCGAAATCCTGCAGAAAAAGTAGAAATTAGGAAGGTGGTGAGAGAAAATAGAAGAGAATAAAAATAAGTCCATGACTTTATTTATTAGCCTAATGCATTTGAGATTATTTAATTTTACGCAAACTACAGTAATCTATGTGTTTACATATAACTTGTAATTCGAATGCCTTTTCATTTTACGCCATTCCCTTAAAATCACATGATGAAAAGTTTATGACTTCCGTAAAGTGTTCACGTTTGACTCCAAAATTGCGCCAAATTTGTTTGCCCCACTGAGTCCCATGAATTTTTGCCATGTTATAGACATAAAGAACATTCAACTATACAATTGCTGTACTTTTTCTAAGGCTGAAACTCAGCTATGAAAAGGCATTTCAAAAATGTCAAATTGTGTTTCCAAATGCTCTGGGTTCCTCATGTGTTTATACTTTTATACAAGCCCAGCGAGGGCAAGACAAATCAAAATTAGAGCACCATAATCTTATAGGCGATTGTATTTTACAACGTAATAAGTGATATTTGAGAACTAAGAAGAGAAGGGTTTGTAAACGCCTGAAAATTAAGATGGTAATAATGGAATTGAACTTCTATTAATCAAATGTACGATGACCGTTGGAAGTTATTGATTCACAGAATGTAGGGAACTTCAAATGTTTACTAGGATACTTTATTTGTCTTGTACTCAATATATAATTTCATTACTCCACCCATATGTTTTTAGCACTCACTGGAACTTTATCCAATTATTATACATTTCCCTCAAAAGTGGACCACGGAATTTTCAAAGTGGCTACGAATCAGATCGCCTGAGTTTTGTATATGCACATGATAAAACAATTTCTTGAGTTTTGAACTATTCTAATTCTGAAAAATTTCCTAAAAATTCACTCTTATGAGCTCGAGCAAATGTTGAAATGCTTTTCGTTATACTTGGTAAGCAAATCAGAGATTCGTTAAAGTTTTGCGCTCAAACTCTAAATAGACTTAGCTATGAATCACTTCCCATTTTCTTGCACTAACGTTCTCTACTCAGAGAATGTTCAAGGCAATAAAATCCTCTCTGTTACTAGTCCTATTATGTGATATTGAGTGCATAAATCCCAGTTGTTCTTGATTGAAACTCCTTCGAAAGTGCAAAATGGGCCTATGATTCTATGTTTGGCTGCACTTCTCTTTGCGTTCACTTTTCCACATACTTCACTGAAGCTTTTGTGTTTTTGAAGTTCCAAAAGGATCAGCAGCGTGCATTGCGCTAGGGTACCAGTGGGAAAAAACAAAGAGCTAGGACGAGCATGAATAATGCATGGTTAAAGCTTCATCTTTTTTTAGGGAGCCTATTTGACATTCAATGACGCAGCGCTCTGCACAGAATAGCGATAAAAGCTTTGGCTTCAGTTTTTTTTCGAAGCAGTGAACCTTTTCTTTCTTTGTTTTTTTGCCGAAGAAGGAAGGAAGCCAACATTTTCATGTATAGAACCAACAGCTAACTCAATCACAACAACCGATTTGCATTACAGAGACATAAAATAGCTAATTGGCTGGCTATCAATTTCTTTTGCTCCTTATTAATAGCTGCTAAAGGTGCCGTTGAGTGGGTTTGGACTATCGAGTTCCATATCAGCAAAAATGCAGGACTTAAGCTTTTTAGTTTATTTTCATTGATGCATCTATTTCAGCTTCAAGCATTATTCCAGTAAGTAAGAGGAAGAGATGTAATTACTGGGACTAAATAGACAGAGAAGGCAACTTGGTGTAAAATATCTTCAGGACTTAAAAATTGCGAAAGAAGGTTTATTCCAAAATAGGGATTTTATTATATTAAGTGACTGGATGCTTTTACAGCCATTACTGGGATAAGATTCTAATCTTGTCCAATAGAAAACCATTTTAGCTAGATATTCAAAATTTTTGTCTCAAACACACCCACAAACCTTGTCTTGTATTTTTGAGAGCTGGTATCTCAAATAGACATCCTAAACTTTTGCTGAGCTAGTGCATCCGGGAAAATTTATAAAACTGTTGTTCACATAATTTGTATTTTTTTCTCTCTGAGACTTTTTTATGAGGTTTGCATCATTTCCTTATGAACGGGACTCGAGTATTACACCCAGTCACCAAATAAGTAGGGGTAGAGTAGAGAAATTCATGATACCATACCTGGTTGCATACATTCGAACGGTATAGTGTACTGTCCAATAAAATCATCACCTGAAATGAAAAGTATTTTTGGCAACTATGAATCTGCTTTTGATATTTTCCTTTAGAAAAATGACAAACCTATAAACTCGTCATCGAGAACGAGAAATCGTACCAAAGCCAGCTCTGGTATTGAGACTTGAAATTGAAAAGACTCGTCGAACGAAGGATTATGGCCTGAAACAATAATAAGAAGTATATTCCATAGAGCTGAGTTGGATGTTCAAGTTTACTGACCATCATTCCTAACAGTCTTGGTTCGCTCTTCGGCACAATCTCCGGGGATCCCAAACACTTCGACCACGACGAACGGATCGCAAGAGTCTCCCTAATATACATGGGTGCGGCGTTTGTGGGAAAAAATATACCAAAAGCAGGGAGGGGGGGGGGGGGGAGGGGAAGGACTTAGAATGGATAGCACAATTCTTGAAGGTGACTCACATCATTTGCAAGACTAACATCAATTCGTTCCCATTATAAATGATTTGATTTGTAAATTTTTCACAAAAGTCATGCTTCATTTTACAAAACTCTTAGATTCCAAGCTTAAAAATCGGAGAATTTGTGAATATTTGGAAGCGCTAAAGAGATCTTCTTGCATTCCAAAGTAATTCTGTAGCCGATACTTAATTAAATTGAAAATACCGGCTCTCCCCCCCCCCCCCTCCCCCTTCGTATATACGTACCTTAGCATTTGATCCTCTAGGTCGTGGAAGTTTTTGAGCAGAAAGAACTCGTAGATGTAGAATCTAGAAATTCAAATAAATGATATTTGTTCGAAAAAGTAAGCTGAATTCAATGTCAGCAAGAAGCTTAGCGCGAAAATTCGCAGAATTTTTTTTTACCTGAGGAGTATTCGGTAATTTATCACCAGCCACAAATAGATCCTCATTCATCACTGAGGGCTTTAGAACATACCCACAGCCTCCGTTTTCGGAAAAACGTCCTTCCTAGAATGAGAAAGCATTACTCGAACGAAATTTTCAACTCTAATCTCAAGGATCAAGAAGTTGAGCTTTTATTTTCTTGAAGAGAAAAATCCGATCAGAAACGATACTCAGACTGAAAGTCTTCCATAGATTTTTTATTTCCACTCTAGTAGAGCTACAGTATCCATACAGTAACCCACTTGCAAATCCATCATTAGACCTGGCGTTTGATAATTGATCTTAACCATTTGAATTCCATGGTTCCAGAATTCCTGTGGATTTATATTCGACGAGTCCGTTCGTGTCATATTTGGTGAAACGCTGAAACTCGTAGGAAAAAAATTTTGGTCCGAAGCCAGAAAGGGTTTGGCCACTTACCAAACTACGTAATCCCTTGAAGTCTGCGCAAATTCTGGGGCATAGGTGTGAGTGAGCCTTAGAGCTGTTGTTTCATTGAGATAAGCGATGTGCCGTCGGGGATTCACTAAACATACCCCCAATTTTGGGCATACTGTAGGCGTACTGTATACGAAAGTGGATATGTACTTGTGTGGGAATTCGGAGCAGTTGCCATAAGATCATGGACAGTTTTGAGTTGAAGAAATTGCGGTATAAGGTCGGAAAGCTCTCGACAGAGTCGTATCCTGGAAAAAATTTTATAGCGGTTTTAGTTGCTGGAAAAATTTCGTGCTAACTCGTACCGTTGTGCTTTTCTCTTTGAGAGATTCGCAATACCTCCATCGTCTTCAGAAACTTCACCGCTGTCCGACTCACAGCAAATTCTTTTACCCTAAAGCAAAATCCATCATAAAATTTCGAAAAAAAACATCCTTCAAAGTAAAAAGTATAATCTCGTACAGCTACGGCTGGTCATGGGTAAAACACTGTCTATGTAATGTGAATTCGGGTCTATCACAATCTAGTACATAAAGAATCGTTAGTTCAATCCAAAAATCTCCCAATAGCGGGAAACCGTGGTGGGTCCCGAAGCGAACGCTCTTCCAAATAGCACCTTAGATGGGTGGATTTACACTTAGCCTCTAAAAATGCTTGGTCTTCCAAATAGCACCTTTAGATGAGCGAATTACACTTAGCCTCGAATGCTTGGCATGCATTTCTCATTTGCAAAACGTCCAGGTTTTTCTTGCGCACGATTTGCATGTTAAGCTAACCTTAATACGTGGTCATTAATTTGCATTCTGCAAGTGCAAATGCCTCCTAAATATTGCAAAATTTCTTGCACTTAGCTTTTCGAGAAAAAACAGTGCCATGGACGATTTTATGGCGTCAAACTATACATTGTTTTACACATACTCAGACAACTGACCGGAACTTCCGCAGAGGGTTTGGGAAAGCTCCGCCGGATCATCTGCGGAAGTTCCTTAAAAGAGCTGTGGAAGTTCTCAAATGAGGTGCTGCGGAAGTCCCTGTTTTTAACAAGTCTGATGTGAAAATCCTGCGGAAGTTCCCATTTTCAACGTATCCACTTTTGCAATAGTAAAGAAAATCCTGCGGAACCGCTGCAAATTTTGCTAGCCCTGGGGAAGTTCCGGTGAATTGACTGAGTATAATTAAGGCATGGATTCGGTTTAGAGTAATCTCTGGAAATAGGCATCCAAAACAGCTCAAATCTTAAGCTACTATTGAAACATTTTTGTGCTGGGAAATCCCTCATCACTAAACATCTTTTTGAAAATTTTACAATTTTAGAGTCTCACCATCAAAAGTATTCTTTGCTGAAAATCGGAAGGTGTCGGTATGGCACGCTCATTATTCCAATCAGTTGGATCAGCTGATGGCATGTAGAGCTGAATAGCTAAGATCAGTTCTTAAAGTAAATTGGTTTTACCTGATATTTACTTTGGTGCCAAGGTGAGTAACGATGAGCTTAGCGGCAATTTTTTGCCAGTCCAATGAGCAATGAACAGAAAGACGAAGAATGAGAGGGAATCTGGATCAAGTTAACAGCTCAGCAAAACAGGAAGTCGATCAAGTTTATTAACTTACCTTGATCGCTCGAAAGCATGCTGCCGAATAGTTTTCAGAGCTTCACTTAGCGGGACTTTACTCAGAGCAAGGAGGCCATTTTGAACCATAGGCTCGGTTTCTCCTTTGCTATCCACAGGGTCCCAGAGGTCAACTAGAATTTGGTGCTTTTAGATCAAGAAAAGATAGGTATATCATTATTTTCATCAAATCAAAGCCTCTTATGGACAGCGTTCAGGCAAATCTGGACATATGGGGATTTTACGTGGAAAGTAATTTTGGGACACTAACTAAGCCGCTGCCCAATCGGCAGCTTAGGTAGTGCTCTAACGGCTTAGATATTCCCCTCGAAACTGGACTCCGGGATCGTACTCGCATGGTTTCATGGAGCAACCCATCAGTTTCGCGGGAGGACCCACGCGTTGTGCCATGAATCCATGCGAAATATGATCCTGGGTCCTCGAGGGGAATATCTCAGCCGTTAGAGCACTACCTGAGCTGCTGGTTAAGCAGTGCCTTAGATGGCCCCAAAATTACTTTCCACGTAAAATTTAGAAAGTTCAAAAAGCTTAGAAATTATCTTACAATGTGATTCTTCTCAATATTCTCGAACATAAGTTGACTTACGCTCTATCATTCGGCAGCTCTTCTTCAAAACGTTTGCTAGTCCATCACAACCAGCTTGTCCTTGCTGATCCTCGATCAGATAGGTCTTGTGCGATGAAGCAATGAAATATTTGGAGAAAGGCTAAAGTAGATTTTTTGAAATTTTGATGGATTTTGGAGTTTAGCTAATCCAAGAATTGTTTGGAAATGAATATTACGCTGAGATTTTACCTGCTTCATGTCCATCCAAACTCGCGTATGAGAGGGATCAAATATTGAGCAATCCTTGGACAAAAGGAATGAGGTGAATCCTGAAAGGCAATAATTCTTTTTTTTTCAAAATTTTGTTATGGCTTTCATTTCGATTTTAACAACATGTCAGACAATTTTTGCTTTTTTTTCTTATTTTTTATTTATTCTTTCGCTCATTCGAGCTGCTGTTCAATCGTCTATTCTTCACTTAAGTATTCGTTGACTCAATCGATCACCTATACATTCTCATTCATTCTTTCATTCATTCATTCTCTCACCATTCAATTATTCCTCTATTTTCCATTCATTATTCATTCCCCTCTCTGATCATTCATTTTAATCTCTGCTTCATCGCTTTGTTTCTGACTTTTCTTTCTCTGTTAACATTTTTCAAACGTTCGTTTCTCAGCACCCTCATCCATCTTTTCTTTTCATAACTCATCTTTTCTCTCTTTTCTAACTTTTTGCAATCTTTTAAATGAATAGCTTACCATCAATTGTCATAAAATTGTTCTCCTTAGCCTCTGGAGCTGGCTCGTATTGCTCCACAACGTTTTCACAAAACTCTGTTGTTACCCCGACCATCTGAAATATTTTTTTAAATATTAGGAAAGTATAAAGTTCTTTTTTGACCTACCCCTTGTTCAGTCTCAAGAAAAAGTCGAAGATCTTGACAACTCAAGTAGTCTTTGTTTGCGTATCGTACCATGAGGAAATAAATTTCCGGTCTAGTAGCGATTTCCTGAAAAGGAAGTGGGAATGACAATGGAATTGAGTAATTAAGAAAATCCAAAAATACCTTGTACAACTCAACAAAACCAGCTTTGGAAATTTTCCCACGTTCTGCGGCATCTAGGGAGTAAACAGTTTCCTGGAGGGAATAAAAAAAGTGTATACGAAAATTTTGTTTATTGAGAATACCAACTGCTTACCTTGACTTTATTTTTGACTTTGGATAACGCCAAAGTGGGATTTATATGGCGGATCAGATGAACAGCAGAGTTTTCATCAATAAAACCTTTGCTATCTGGATCCTCCTCGTCAAAGAGATTACCCAGCCATCTAGAAAAATAATAGGTATGAGATTTCCTGAATTTTCGTAACAAATAGCGTAAGAACACGTTTTGATCAACGATATCTATACCAACAATATCAAAAATTCAAACTAAAAAAATTTTGAGACTTAAAAAAATCAATATCATAATTTTATATCTTCCCCTGAAACATTCATTGTTCAGAAGTTTTCAGTTGAATTGATTTATTAAATTTTCAGAATAATATAAACTTATTGAAAATTCTGACTCACCGCTCCCTGATAGTAGCCCAAGCTGTGGTCGCCGGTTTACAAACTGAAACTAAATAATAATAATAAATGATAATAATAGCAGATCCAATAGCTTTATAGAAATGCTAATAAAATTTCCTTCAACTATGTTTATTGATTTTCTTTTGGGATAAATATTCTGATGTTGCTTGACTAAAGACTAAAAGTAAACAGATCTAACAGCTGTATATCTGAAAAATGCTAAAAAATCCAACTATTATTTACTAATTTTTTCGAAATTCAAATATTCTGTCCTCAAGTACAAAATGAGAAACAAAACCATTCTATGTTGCACTCACATTTAGTTGACGTCAACGCCATCAAACCCGTCACCCAAATATTGGCATCTTCTGGAGAACTAGCTACCAAATCCAGGGAATCGTAGTCATCTCCATAAATGAGCGAAAAGAGGGATTCATTCTGAATAAAAAAAAAACAGAAAGTAAATGTGACAGTCAAAATCGAGTTATACGGTACCTGCAAATCACCAAAGCTTGATTCGCTAAGACGAAGTTGTTCTATTGTTCTTCCTAGTCGAACTTCTCGAATGTCTTCAATGGCTACTGAACTTATATAGATGACATTAACAGAACTTTTTACGAAAAAAAAGGATTGTAAGGAAATAGAAGTGAGACGGTCAAAATTTTTTGCCAACAATTTGAAAATTTCCATGAACTCGGAGACGTTGAAGTTTAGTCGATACTTTAGTTAGTATAGGTCCACATTTCTAAAGGTTTAGGGATATAGTAAGTACATACTTTTTTAGTAACCGTCTTTGTATCGAAAATCTTACACATACCATCGTCTACTATGATTTCTACTTGCATCCATTGGGAAATTGCAATAAGAAGCTTAGAACAAAATACAAGAACTTTAACCATGTTTACTTTTTGCTCCTATTGCACGAAATATTTTGAAGTATCGTTTTTCTTGATGAAGTTTACCACTGCTGCCCTTGACAAGACTTACTTCTTGCTTTGTGTGGTTTTTTGTTTGTCGGAGTCCATCGAATATGCGAAAGATCTGCATCGAGGCTGAAAATATTTGCCTTTGTTCTTGTTTGTCGTATTTTTGATAGTGACACAAGATATTATTTCGACAACATGCGAATCCAATAGAATTATCGAGATGGTAATGCGTGAAGTTTTAATGAGTCATAGGTCCTTTTAAGCAGTTATTCAAATATGAGTACTTTGAAAAATTTGACTTATAAATCATTCTGAAAAAGCGAATGGGGAATAAAGACAATGAATGTTTACCTGAAAAACCGTCGAAAGTGCCTGCTCGATCCGCGAAGTTTGATGAATTCACTGCCATTTTGCATATAATGCCAGCAATCGCTTACTGGAAAAAAAGAGGTACTGATTTTTCACTCATTCACAGAGATGTTGTTGAGCTTACCGTTCGAAATCTTCTTGTCAGTGTTCTTTGATGAAAACGAAACCGTTTTCCTGCCAGGAGATTTTTGTCGACCATGTTTGTTGATTAGTGAAGAGCGAAGCGCTTTTCTGAAAAAGCAGTTTGACAGTCGCATAAACAAAATTTGAGTTTTGGAAACTTTTTTGGGTGACTTACTCTTGGCTCTTACTACTCTAAAACTTTTTGGCTGTTGGAATTTTTTGCAATATTCCAGATGAACAGAGTGTCAAGACGAAAAATTTTGTCGTTTTTTTTTCACCCAGACACTTAGCAGGGAAGGTTGTGGATAAAAATAATGACACAAATAAAGCCTTAGTTTTCTCTACCAGGAAATAACCTCAAAACCAGTGCTTTATCTAGATTTGGACCATCTTTAAATACGTCTGGCTTTATAATTATTTTTTGTCATCAACAACGTGACTGGATAGAGAAGAGCTTGGACAACCCTATTTCTAATCAGCCACTTTTGTAAATTTCTGAATATGACATGCTCGAAAATATTTCGATTTTTTGCTGGAAATTGGGCTGAAACTCAAGATCAATACCGTTCATTTTCGAATTTGTTTTAGCAGATTGTGGGTTGAAGTCTCCACAAGCTTCACTGTAGTCTGTAACAGCATAAAATGTGACAGTCTGACATTGTAATAACGTAGAAGATTCTAATTTGAATTCATTTTCAAGGAAAAACCGTTTTTAGAAGACATTTAACTGCTATGATACTTTCGAATGTCAATTGAAGAGTTATGAAAAGAATTGGGGCGAAAAATCTTGGGGGCGATTTATTACTTCAGCTTTATTACCTGCTTGTACGCCCTCCAACCCGCAAATTCCAAAGCAGCTCATTTCCACATTACCCACTCTTTTTCCTACTTCTGTTGATCTTTCTGGTGCTTATGCACCATGGCACTTAGGCTGCAAATACCATATATTGTCTCCTAAGTGCTGTCAAATCCGTTTTCATCACCCTAGCTTTTTTTCTGCAATTCTGCGGATTAAGGACCAGCATTGTCACAAAAGAAATAAACCCGTCAAGTGACGTCATTGCAGTAATAGCCGTTCTAATACGGCATTCTTTCTCGCGCAAAACAAGCAATAAAAAAGTAATGCGACCGAGATGACGACATTCGTGGATATCGGAATCGCTACTCATATCGGATAATGGTATGTTAGAGATAAAAGTAAAGAAAGAAACTGAATCACATGTAATTTTGATGAAGAATGTGGGAAGTATTTTTTACAACAAGGTATTTCCAGAAACTTCCTCGTGGATTACGGTAGCTACCTCCTAGAATGTGATAAGCTGATCTCATAAATGTGATTCCAACTAACTTAGCTGGTGTTATTGTGATAATCTTTAAATGTTCATACTCCTACAAAAAAGCGGATCCCGTGATGATCTAGGCAGATGAAAGCCTTTTTATAAAAATGAAAATCTGGAAAGCTCTTTGCGGGATACGGTTGTTCCTTCCCACATCAAGGTAGGAATAATAATTATATAAACAATGTAAATAAATTTCAAAACAATACGTAGTTGGATGACTGTTGCTTTGCATCTCAGTAGTACAAATTCTGCTGAAAAGTTGTGTCTTTTTATGCGACATGTGAGATTGCCCAAACTGCGCAGCATCTCACGACAGTTACCACTTGACAGTTAGTAGAAACCGTCTTAATCGTTCAAAAATTACTACTTTTATCGCTTGTAAGTATATCCGTTGAAAAAAAGAAGAGAAGAAAGTGCCCTGGATAATTCACGAGCATATAAGGCGTGGAATACCGCGCGCCCTGTGCAAATACACATATCGACTTACAGTGGCTCGATTACAACTACTCGCAAGAGAGATTAATTCCTTAAATACAGTTTATGACACATCTGCACTCTTTTTGCCTTTTTGCTCTTTTTGTACCCAGCTTTGGATTCCGCTGAGATTATGCAAACCCCTTTTTCATTTCTTTTTCCTATTTTTTCGCGTCGATCAGCTGACGAACGGCGCTTAGCGCTTGTCAGAGCCCTTTGCGCGGATATTTGCTTCACAGATGTTTGTATGTTCTCTTGACTGGCACTCGTTGTTTTCGAGCGGAGCGAGAAGCCCTCACTTGAATTGCGCGACGACGACGGCAATGTTTTGCTCATCAACTCCGAACGACAACATGTTGCTTTAAATTTGAGAGAGATGTCGTGAGCGACAATCGTATCCGCTTCCGGATACGCTTGTCTGGTGTTCGGGCGGCTACGAAAAGACTTTTGAAAGTCTGGAATACAAAACAGAAGAATAAATTTGAGATTGAAGTTAATTTTCTTACAGTAAAAAATATCCTCGAGTCATTTGTAACTTACACGTGAGTCTACAGACTATGCGCAACAACTGACGTCTATCTTACTAGTAATTTCAGTAAAACCTTTTCTACCGTAACAATTTGTAGAAATATCTACTGCTGGCTAACAAAATCCAAAAAAAATCAAAATAAGCAAGGGAGCAAGTAACCTCTGATTCAACTAGCTTGGCGGCTGGTAGGCAAGACTTTGTGACCTAATTAAGGCCGCTCGCGCCGACGACGCAGTCTGCGTTCTCTAGCGCGCGTGCTCTCTGATCATTACCTGGCCTTAATTAGGTCAAGAAGCTCCGCCTTCCAGCCGTCAAGCCAGTTGAATCAAAGGGTAAAAATCAGCGATAATGAGCAGCTTCTAATCTTGAAGTTCGTCAAGTAGCGCGCACGATGTGCAGTATACATATTATTAAGACACAAATGATTCGACGACAAACGTTTTGTAGTCCTATTCAGGCTAAGAAAAAAAGGTGTTAAAAGTTTGAACTTTACAACAGAATAGGAAGGAATGTTAGAAATCAATACCAGATCTTCAAAGAGAAAAAAACACCCTTTTTTTAGATTGAGATCTATAGAAAAATCAACGCGAAAAACCTGCAAATAATTCAGAAAAGGAAAGGTCAACTTTTGTTCACTTGGAAGATTTCATCCAATTATTTTTCATAGTGGAATCAATAGTATGCTGTCAAAAAGGACCCTATACTGATGTCAAGTTTCAGTTTGAAAAAAAAAATGTGCGCGTTTATAGTCTTGCATGGATATTATAAAAACTCGTGATTGTTCATAAAAACCCTGATTTACAACATATTTTTTTTGCTTGAGTGGCGCTATTGAAGATGTTTTTGGACAGGATAGAAAATTTTTTCTGAAAGCAGGAAGTTTCTCAGAAGTTCTTTTTGATGCTAAAATTTTGGCGAGTTTAAACCGAGATTTGAAAACAGCCCGAAGTTTTTTTTTGAACTCATAGTTTGAATTTTTGCAAAATTGTGAAAATAATTTGCATAATTTTGACCAACAGCAGGGAATTTCTTTCGTCACATTTATTTTGTGGAAATCTACTTGGAAACCCCACAAACCATGTGACACTGCTACAGCTTCCATCTGTGTATCTTCATGTGATGCATGGTGTAGGAAAATCAAATATCAAAAACTACGTCAAATCCTTATAAAATTCCCCATGCTTTCAAGGGACACGCAAAGATGACTCAATTTTGACTGAACGAGGAGTATTTCCCACTCTTTAATTATGTTGCACTTGAAACAGAAAATACCGATTCAACTCCGAAACTCAAATGAGCATGAATTTTATGGGTTCGAACATAGCACAAAATTCTGTGGAAATTGTTTTTTTTTCTTTTTCAATAAAATCCTTAGCTTTATTATAGGCTAGCGAAAAAATTATACGTTTTCTGCCAGGATGTATGTTCGGCGACACAAGCTGAAGAAAAACTCGTAAATCATATTTTTAGACTTTAGACATCAAAAATGCTAAGAAAATTCAATAAAATTTCATTTTGCTTTATTAACGATAGCCCTACTTCGTTTGATTTGACAGAAATTCGTGCTGTTTAGGTGTTTCTAAGGAAAAATGATTTTTAAGTTTTTTACTCGATATCTCGATTCTTTTGTATAGTATAGCTCCAATATTAGTAAAATATAGCATTGTTATTTTTTATAAACAGTACCAAGAAATGAAATTTTTCAGCACTTTTATAGCGAAATTTTGAAATTTTTTCGGTGCAATTTCCATGGATCTAACAAGAATTGGAACTAACTCTAAACAGGGCTTGATGCAGGTGGCTTAAAGCAAGCTGGATACCATTTTTGGAAGAAAAAGCAAATGGGATATCGTTTTTGTGGGTCCCAAATTAGTTTTTTTAGTCGATTTGGATATTTCGAATAGGGGTCAAAGGGAACTTTTAATAGTTGGCGAAAGTCAGAGGGAATTTTATTTTCTGCATTTTCGGAAAGCCATCTCGTGTCGAGCCCTGGCTCTAGAGCGTCGCTGTTCTGGGTAATAGCGTCCAAAATGCTTCAAGATAATTTTTTAATTACAATTCTATTTATTACCTTATTTTTCACTTGCATTTGAAATAAGCATTGATTCTGAAAAAAAAGAAGAAATGAAATCCAGTGATTCTTTTCCTTTCTTAGGCATGTAATAGGGCTACATTTTTTGTAAATCGTCCAAATTTGCATGTTTGCAATCCAGAACTGCACTTGGTGAAAAATTTCTTGTCTTTGCGATTTGGCAAATGGCACAATCAAGCGCAAAGCCGGAAATTCGCTTCCTGAATCAGTTCGGCTCGGACTACATGACGTACGACTTTCGCCGAATCAGTGAAAGAGCAAAAATTGCATGGACAAGAAGTTAGAAATTTTTTTGACGCCGGGAAAATTCAAGAAAAATAGGTTTTATCTGTACAGGATTGCATTATCGTAAGAAAATGCACAACGTATTTTCTGTTCTGGGAAAAGATCCCCGAAAAACGAAAATTCTCTGGAGTTGAAGAATCTATCGAGAATGGTAAATTTTACCCTACCTGTCCGTAAAAGGTAAATCCAAATATTCTTGTGGTGGTTGTGGTGGAGGCGCCGCATCCTCCGTCGTCATTTCATTGGAGCGCTGTTCGTTGAATAGGGGCGCGAATTACGCTCTTGCTCTGAGTAATTGTGAAAATAAACAGCAGTCAAGCCACTCGAAAGTCAAATAATGAGCGCGAATCAACCCGTGACAAATACGAATTAGACACGGCTCAAACACTTGAAGACGTGTTGACTAAGCGCGCACATAAAGAGAGGAAAATTCGAAAAACAAGCAGTAATTAGGAGCGATGTTGGGTTTTAACTAGTAAGGAGGTAATAGTGTGACTTGCAGACGGGAAGGATGAACTTTCGAAATCAAAAATGCAAAAACAACTTCGTCACATTGATAACAAACAGAAACTAGTTGTGAACTGCACCTCCGATGATTTGTCAAAGTTTAGGTGGAACTAGATGGAAACAATATTGACATAGAGAATATTTTATGAGATTTTTTGAAGAAAAATCTACAGTAATCGATTTCGAACAGAGACTTGATGTGATTAACCGTGGCAGCCAAGAAAAATTTTCGAAAGAAGGAATCAGACACCTTCGAGAATAGAGAAGTGGTGGGGGGCAGCCATGCCCTCCAAAATTTTTTTTGAATAGTTGTCAAAATTTTAGTAAACTTTTTTACTTTTTATAAATCTTTCCAAAAACTGTCTTCTTACTTACACAATTTCCTTGAACCTTACCTCAAAAAAATTCATATACATAATTTTCACTCCTAAACAAATTTACTGCTCAGTATTGAAAATAAGTTTTACAGAACTTCCTTCCTTAATGAGCAGTTCGGGGGAAGGTCTGTAAATACTTTTACTCCGTCCAGGAACGAAACGGAGGTTGGTTATTTACACATTTCGAAACAAAAACGTTTTTCATATTATTGCATTTTCAAAAACTGAAGAAGAGGGGCAGCGATGTCTCGCAAAATCTATTTTACAAAGCTTTCAAATTTTTATAAAATCTCAAATTTATTGCGCAGGTTGCAAATAATGCAAGTTACTCGCATAAAATTCACAAACTCTTAATACCACTTTAACCATTTTCCTCCCCCTCCCTCTCTGGGTAAATGTAGCTTGACTGAATATTCATTGTTTATCATAAGAAAGAATTGGGGAAATTTTCGAAAAAAAATTTTCTCGAGTTACAGCGTGCCATGAATGAAGGAAATGAAAAAGTCGTATATTTTTTGTGCATTAAAGAAAGGAATGTGAAAAATAGAACAAGAAAGTTTCCATATAGACAAAATCGATGCGAATAGATGTTTTTCAAGGAAAACCAAATGTACAGAGGAGGTACCGCATGACTTGGTTCGAAAAAGTAAATCAACACTAATTAGATTATAGATGTTCCGGAAACTTGAGCAGGAAAAAAGATGGAGAAAGGTTGAGACTGATTCTCAAAAGCAGGGTTCATTTTTTGGAGAAGTAAACTTGGGATCGAAGAAACTAATATTTTAGAATAGTGAGGTTTTTGAAGGATCGGATCAAATCACAGTAATATACAACAAGACAATGAGCGAATTGAGAAATGTTTTCAAGAAAGATTATTTAAGTGCACAGTAGCACTCAGTAGAATACTGTCCCAAATGCAATGTAAACAGACTTTATTGTGCCTGGTTTTTCCCACTAGGACCAATGCGTGCGCTTCCTATAATTTACATGCTCCCTATCTGATCACCCCAGTTTAACGTTGATTGCAAAAAAGAACTTAGGTCATTTCAGGTTTCTATCATAATGTCGCCATGTTGAGAATGATCTCAGAAAGTATTGAAAAATTTGTCTACTTTTACTAAATTTACAAGTGGATAGTAAATAGTATTAATCATATAAATCAATATATTATAATTAATCATATCGAATTTGCTTTTTTTCTTGTAAAGTTGCACCATGAGTGTATTTCTGAATAATAAATAAATATTGATACGAATGATTCCTTGACAGATGTTCTTTTCGAAAAAAAAGCAAGCAATCCATAAGAGGAGAAATTGTACAAAGGAAAGCAGAAAAATTGAGTTTCTCGGGAAACCGGTTTTATATCAACTCGGTCCTATTTAGAAATTGGAAATTTGGATTTGAAAATGGTTTTTCGAGATTTACACAGACGTGAGTCCGAACGAACGCACAGCATAATGCCAGACTTCGTTTGATATAATGTTTGATCACATAGACGAAAGGACAAAAGGAGCAGAGACAAACAGAAAACAAATAAAAATTGTGAGGTTGAAACATGTTTGCACTTTTAAGAAGGACATTTGTAAAATAAATAAAATAACTCGTTTAGTCTTAACAGTCCTCTGAAACAAGCCAGAATTGATCGGTACAAATTGTTCTGGATCTAACAAATATCAATAGGAAGTGTCTGGAGTAGGAACTAGCCTTTTTTCTAAATCGAAACGAAATTCTATCTCCTGGCAGCGCGAAGGGCAGATTTTTAGCGATTACGTGGGAAAAGGAGTGATGGATTCAATGTGACACAGAGCCCTTACATGCTCGAAAATCCTATCATGAGATTTTTTGTTTTTTTATTAGCCATTTTTCTCATACATTAGTCATGTGTAATCTGTCATAGTGTAACAAAGATATCAAATAATAGCATGGGATTTTCTCAAGTCTTTATGTTTGAGTCATGGTCGAGAAACTCGCCTTTGAACTCTGGCCCAGATAGTACTCTTTTCGATGAAATAATCTCACTGCAATTAGCAAAATCGTTTTCATACTTTTTTAAGAGGATAGCCCCCCCCCCCTCCCTTTAACATATTTGTCCTTTCGAGCGGTTCTAATTCTAGTCTGACATGAGCAATCATATCGGAACCTGAAAAATTACTGATTTTCCTATCTTACAAGATTCTTGACTTGGACGATAGACGACAATAATCTACATGTTTGAATTGTGGACGAGTAACCCGCCTTTGAGCTCTCGCCCAAACAGTACTATTTTCGAGGGAACAATTCAATGGGTACGGTACTGGGCGAGATATTATATATGAAGTTCTCGTAAACGAATGAATCTTATGAGATGCATAATGTTCCTGTAAGTCTTAGTTACAATTTTAAAAAAATGAACTTGAGCAGTAGTTTCAGGAGATTCTATATTGCAAGTGATAGATATTAAAAAAAATCCTTCATTATTTTCAAAAAAATGCCCCTCCCACCATGTTAGTACATTTTTGGAGCCTCTATCACTAATCCGACAAGTGCAATACTAGAAAGGACATCAATTAGAGCAATCACGTCGAAAACCCTGGAAAGTTGCTGATTTACAACATTTTGTCTACAGTATATCAAGCTTCAAACTACTATTTTTATTGTATTGACGTCAATACAACGTTAAGATAATGCGTGCATCGTAAGTGACGTCCATAGTCTCCTTAAAAATACAATCGCTCGATTTCGATGCTGGTAAACAAGTTGTAGTTGAGCACTTATCAAACTAAGTTGAAACGACAAGTTCGAGTGCGGCTCTCCAAGAGTCCAGAAGTTAGAGAGCGTAACTCGTCCGGAGAGGAAATAGAATTGCTCTTGACGAAGGCGAATGTAGCGGAAAATCTGCGAAAAAACGGGTTGGCTGGACTCTAGCGATTTTATAAAGGCAGAAAGATCTGTTAGGTCTGGACAACTCTTTTTTTAGAACGAAATGATTGAAATGTCTCAACTAAGCTATTGCCCAAGCTTTAGCTCATATAATTCAATTGCGGGGGAAAAATTCTCATGGAACTTTCGCCCAGTACCATATTCAATTAAAGCACTTGGAAAGAGTACTGTAGTGGGCGAGAGTCTAGGATACTGTTATTTGGCAGCAAGTAAATGGTGTGAGTTACCGCTCGGGCCATTGATTGTAATGGTCTAAAAATCAGTAAAAAAAATCATCTAGTTTGATCGACCATCGTTCTCGAGTATGGTACTGGGCGAGGGCATAGAATTTAAATTTTTCACGTCACAAATAATTTGAGCTAGCACACTAGGACTCAGTTAAAGCTTTCATAAGCCCACTACCGTACTCCTCAAACAATCTGCGCCCTCGCATACGGTACGGGTAAAGGCATAAATCATTTTTCTTCGATCTGGAATGAAATGTATGAATTGCCGCTTGGGTAATGTCAATGGCTCAGTCAGAAACTCTAAATCAGTCCACTACTGTACCCCTAGATAAATCAGCGCCTTTATATACGGTATTGGGTGAAAGCATAAAATGAAAAATTCTCAGCCACAAGTGGATTATATGAGCTGGAGCTTGGCCAATGAAATATTCAACTTGGTCAATTTGCAACCGTACTGCTCGACCAATCAGCAATCTAGTACGGTACTGGCGAAAGCACAGAGCTACAATTCTCTCTGCCAGGAATGTACTGTAGAACCTGCCGTGTGGGCAAAGGCTGAATTAATTACTCAGATTTGCCTGGACACAGCCTTAAACTCCTAGAAACAACTGAAAAGGCTCGAAGAAAGGACGAGTTGTCTTGTGCTGGCGCTTCACCACGCCTCTCAGTCTGCTTATATGTGCTTTGTTGGGATAGTTTGCTAGCGCTGCCCGATATCCTCACACACCAACACAACAATGGGCTCAATTTATTGGAACTTGGCATGGCATGGCTCTGGCAAAGAAAAAACGAGCACGCGGAGGACGAAATCTGCTCTGAATTTGCAGAGCTACTAATTTGGGCACTTGTATTTGGATGAACTTGCTTGCAGATTATAAGTAGCATATGGTCTAGATTAAGGCAATATTGCATAGGTGAAGGACGGACTTGGTGACCCTAGAGTGCAGAATTTTGCAGCTCTTTTTGGTTCATTCTATGAATTGATAAATACTTAAGCGCTTAATTATTTATCAATTCATAGAATGAACCAAAATGACGCAAAAAAAGTCAACAGCAAAGCGATAGATATGGGCATAAAAATAAAAAAAGAAATAAATAGGAAAAATAAATATTATAATAGTAAGGAAAAGGAAAAAACACAATAAAAGACCAATAGTTAGGAAGAGGCACACTTAAAACCAATTCCAAAGTAGAAGAAATTGCGCTGCATATTTTTTAATGATTGCTATTTTTTACTGGTTATGTTATTACACTAATT